CCTGCCCCTGCCTGGCTGCACCGGCACAGGACTGAAACCGAACAGGAACAGGATGAAATTGATGAAGACACTTACGACAATGATGAAGACAAGATGAAGAAAATGAAAATGACAAAGAAGATGGAGAATACGAGGAAGACGAAAAAGATGAAGACAATAAAGAAGCAGATGAAGACAGAACAAAGATGAAGKAAAGGTGACAAAGAAGATGATCCAGATGAAGACTAAGAACACGAAGATGATGAAGACTTAGAATACATAGATGAAGAATAGTAATAAGAATTTAAAAACACTTAGAATAAGTAGAGTATTAAGAATAAGAATTTTAAAATACTAGAAAAAAGAAGAGTAATAGGAGGAAGAATAAGAATTTAAAAATACATAAAATAAGAGTATTAAGAATTTACAAATATTTTGAAGAAGAAAATAATAGCAATAAGATTAAGAATTTAGAAATACATCAAAGAAGCAGAGAAGAGTAGTAAGTAGTAGGAGGATAAGAATAAGAAGAATAATTTACAAATACAAAAATGAAGATTAAATTTAATGAATAAGTCAGATTAGGAGATTTATAAAAATAATATCAATTAAATACAAAAATGAAAAAATATATAAATATATTAATATATAAATACATATTCTAAAACCATAATATCATAACATCATATATTATAACATAATTATAAAAACATAATATTAAATATTAATAATTATATTTTAAAAAATAAAAAAAACATAATATTAAAACCTAATATTAAAACATAATATATTATAATATAATTGTGATACAAATATATTCAAAAATATAAATATCATACAATGATGATAAAAATAACTTCTTTTTATTACCAGTTCTATACTTATATTTTAGTCTATGGTATAAAAATAAGAATATACGAATATAATAAGAATAAGTATAAGATATATAGGAATATAATATTATATAAGAATATAATATACGAATAATAATAAGAATAAGAATATAATAAGAATAAGTATGGATTAATTACGATAAATCGTAATTTCCCAGACAATTACCAAAGAAATAGAACATGTTTAGTTAGCAGAGATCTTGTGTGTTTTCTAGTAAAGCTGTAAGCCACAAGAAAAGAGTGTCCAGATTTCATTTCTTGTCTCTCAGAGGTGCTGTCTTTTCAAAGTCAATGCCAAGGAGTTCCCAGCTGGGCTGGCAGGGCAGGGCTGTCCCTGATCTCTCCATTTATTTGGTTATTTGGCAAACCAAAGCCACCCGATGAATGTGGCTGACCAAGGGCTGTGCTGGGAACCCCTTTGCACCAGGGCTGTGCCCCCACCACAGTGAAGGCTCTGCAGCCCCGCTCTGATGCTGACCAAGGACGGGCTTCAATAGAAATGTAGATGTGCATGTTGGGGGATGTATATACATATCATTTACAGATTTATGTAAAGTTCACAAAGTAAGTAATTCACTCTGTAGCCCATCTACAGATTTTTACAGGCCAACGGTAAGTGTTGGATGTATTGACTTTTACACATATTGTTGCGGAGTAGTGCCTAGTTTTTTTCTGTGTATCTTTTAGATGTAAATATAAATGAACCATTTTATCTCCATATTTTATCCAGAACTTTTGTTTTTCTACATGTCATTAAATATTAGCAAATTCCATTCTCATTAAAATTCTAGTAGATTATCACACACAAAAGTCCCTTACATGCAGAAATGAAAAATGACAAAGCCTGCACATTATTTAGCCAATATAGTAACATTATTTCAAATTTAGAAAATCTCTGTATTCAGGGAAGCAACACCAGACTTTCCTGAACATTTTGTTTCAGTTCTGAAGGAAACAATACAGACAATTCCCTCCCTGTATGATAAGATCCAACAACTGTGCTATTTTTCTTTTTTTTTAAGAATAAAATGAAAATGTATCTCAGACTATGTATGTTTCCAAGTGCCAGCCAGCAAGTCTTGTGCAATGTTTTTAGATACATTGGGAGGATCTGAGTTTGTTTATCATTGCCTCAACTTTCTTTTGGACCAGCAGAAATTCTCCATATGGGAGACAAATGTAGGATTTCTCCAGTATCAGCTGGAGGCAGGAGGAATGTAGAAGCACACCTCCAGAAGAAACTTTGGGAGAGGTCCCTTCTGAATGTCCTGAATTGCTAAGTTGGTCAGTGGGCTGTAACACAGAATTTTTTGACATTCTGGGATACTGTATTAAGATGCTGATTCCTGTAACGTTTGCCAGCTATCCGACATCAGCAGAAATTTGAATAAAGTCAGTATATAAGAATTTGATCCCACAGTGCAAGTGATGACAGCTTGGAATTGGCATTCAGGTATCAGAGGCTTGACAGAGGACATAGACTCCCTATTTCTACCTACCCTTACCTGCACTGGTGCTGAAAGACCTTTTTGTCTCTGGGTGTTTCTCATATGGCAAATGCTTCCTGAAAGCTGGATACAGCTCGGGATCTTGGATTTTTCACATATCTTTATCTTCACTGAAAGCTATTTTATTTTCTGATCTGCTTCCTAGTCCATTCACTATAAAACTTCTTGATACATTACATAATTTTGATACTTCTTCCCCTCTATTATTGTTTGCTCCGCTCCTAGTGCTGAACTCATTATTGGCATTGAAATGATTAGCTGGTTACAGCTGACAGGCAGTTAACAGAAGACATAGCAAGCATCCCAGTGCTTTCTGAATGATACAGAAACTTTTTTTTTTTTTTTGAGATAAGCATTTTTGTCTTATAAAAGTAATTTTCAAATTTTAGCCTTTTTTATATTCTGAAAAGTACAAGTCTTAAAAACATTCAGGCATACAAACAGAATGAGTGCATTCAGTTCATTAAGACATCCTGACTAAAGCTACTCCCAAGGATGATAAAATGCATTGGAGTCATGTTGGGTTTTGAGTGACTGGCTCCCAAGGCTGTCTTTGAAGGATATTGTGACTGCTGTGAACAGTCAATGGACCCATAAATGCACCACCTTTTGATGGCCTGTGGATTTCTGACAACTGAAACAGATCCCTTTCAGGCTACTGTGCACACGTCTTCCTATGAGGAGGAAAATGCTCGCAAGTGTACTTTCTTTCTCCATGGACTAATATAAGGAATCCTATATCTGGTGCTAATGAAATTCCAAGTAATATTACATGCTAACACCACAGTATATTTGTGTTGTCTTCATATATACTGAGAAAATTTTTTAGTTTCTTTTTCTTTTCCTGGAAACACTTTATCTGCTCAAATGGTCAAAGCACTAAGGTTGGTCAGAGAGGCAAAGCAATTTGGGCAATTCAAGGAAGGTGAAAGAGTTCAAATTACAGGTGATTGACTTAGTACACTGTCTGCATTCCCTGAAGCTCCCCAAACTGTGCTCAGGATGGGTGTTTGTGATATTTTAATGGCTCCTTTTCTCTCAACATGTGGAAATGTTCTTGTGCATCAGGCATCTCAGAAAAGGGGATTCTGTTTTTCAGCAGTCAGCAAAATTAATCCTTGACTAGAAGACAGTGTTTCTAGAGCTGGAAATGAGGAGGCACTGCAAAGGAGTTGAACCAGTTAGTCAAAAGAAGTAGATGTTAAGTTCTGTTAACACAGCAGTGTAGCTTTCTTCTGATTAACAGAAACTGAGAAATCTCCACTTCAGTCTTGTCTATTGGCTTCGCTCTTCAGTCTGCCTTCCAGTTGTGGGGCTTTTT